TTAAACAAATTTATTATATTTTATTTTAATTGAATTGATCTAAAAATTTGTGAGTTTTAAATTGCATTGGATCTGGAGCGTTTTGGATGGAGTTCCGAGGAACCCTAGGTGTAGCGATGTGTGGCCCACCCATGACAATCTATACAGCCCATTTCTTTTTTAACATAACAATCTACTATGCGGCCCATTTCTTTTCCTATGGGGGCCCATATTACATTTATATGATATGATTGCTCTTTCCAACATCCTTCTTGTCAGGAATCTCAGGATAAGCTTATGGTGATCAGTAATTTTATGAAGGCCACTAATTTTAACTATAATAATTGCATTAGTATATAGGTATTTTTTTAAAATAAAAATTAAATACGAATATTTCAAAATATTTATTTATAAATTAATTTTAATTTATTAAATATTAAAAATTAATTATTTAATTTAATTAATTATCAATTATATAATTTATATTTAATAATTAAATTAAATTAAAATTTTAATTATTTTAATAACCTTAACAAAATTAATTAATGATGATTTTAACCATGCTCCTCTTGTTAGGACCTGAACTGCTGACCATGCCATTGAATTTAAAAGGTCCCATGGAGAGAAGAAAATTCCACATTCATCTAGGGATTCCCCAATACCGTAGGAGAGACCAACTTGGTTACCACTTCCAAAAAGAGGGTTTGCTTTAAGGTAACTAAGTAAGATAGTCAAACTCCACCAAATGTCTCAATGGTCGTGTATTTTATTGAGGTTGATGGGTTATTCATTAAATCTGATGATCGAATTCTCAATTATTAATATTTAATAATACTAATCTATTAACCATTGTACTTATTAAAAAATAATAATAATAAGATAGTCAGGCGAGATTGAGAAATGAAGAAATGCACCTTTTGTACTAATTAAATTAAAGTCTATGAAGAACCCGTATTATATGACATAAAAGTGATATGCAACATGCCCAATAACCATTAATACTAATTAAATTAAGATATGTGTAAATTATATATCTTATAATTATTAATAAGAGATAAATTTTTTAAATATATAACAATTTTTCATTCCATCAAAAGTTTATATTTTAGATATTTTACAACTAAAATATAAAATTACTTTCTCAATGTATATGATCCCTTTTCTATGACTAACTTTTCTTATTATTCAGCATTTGTTAGCTCATTGCACTATTCTTTTATGAATCATATAATTTACATGCTAAATAATGAAAGTAAAAAAAAAAAAAAATCTTTGAAGCTATCATCAAGTGAGATCACGTGAGACACGTACTCTTTTAGGTGAGGATCGTGCAATATTCCAATCGAGTTACAAATTTAACTGCAACCGAAAGGTCATTCTTACTTTTAGTTAGTGTCCTCAATTGCACCAAATAAAAAACGATGCTTCTGATTACACTCTACTCCAAATTGATATCCTTAATTGTACCTTTCGCCTGCCTGTTCTGTTCTGTTCTGTTCTGTTTGCGTTGATTCTAGTAAGAACGATCCAATCATATCATCATATACACTGCAGAAGGATGGGTCGACACCATGCCTCCATGCAGCCCGCGTGCAATTTGGCAGCACTACTCTGTTTTTTTCCGTCTCCTCGTGTCCCTCTGCAGCTAGCGGTCCCCAAGACGATAAGATTCAACACCAATTGTGCCGCTCACTCATCAATTGCAATTTGCGCCACATATATTTATCATTTCTCTGTCCTTTTCCCTCGTCTCCAGAATACGCGGCATACCGTCTCTGCGTCCTTAATTTGCGTATACAACAGTACTTCCCCTACCCCTGTTTATATATAAACCGTATGTCTCTCCCTCATTAATTTCAAGCACGACAGCTAGAAAGATGGCGAAATTAAACAGCCTACTCGTAATCATCCCTTTCTTCACTCTCTTCGTCCTCTCCTTCTCGGTGTCGGGGCTTAACACGCGTGTTGGAGGGAAGACGGAAATAAGCAATGTGAAGGAAGACAAGGAGGTGCAGGATCTGGGAAGGTTCTCGGTGGAGGAGTTCAATAGGAGGTACCCTCGGCACGGTGGCAACGGAGAGTTGGTTTTCTCGGAGGTGGTGGAGGCGCAGAAGCAGGTGGTGTCAGGGATAAAATACCATCTGAGGGTGGAGGCGACGCAGAATGGGCTGAGCAGAGTGTTTGATTCGGTGGTGGTGGTCAAGCCCTGGGCTCATTCCAAGGAATTGCTTAACTTTTCCCCCATTAGCGAGAGATGAGAGGAAATCCGTTTTGTTTTGATTTTTGGAATAATTAATTACTCGTACTAATGTTGTTGAATAATTATAACATGCATGTAATATTTCTGCGAGGATGTATTTTGCATTGAGGAATAAAACTATGGAAGAAATAATTGATATTTTTTTACTTTCTCGAAATTCTCTAAACCTTCAAAAGTAAAAATGGAAGGCATTAAAGCATTTTTTTTTTTTTAAAAAAGAGAAATGAAACCTATAATAAAAAGGATTGATTAACTTGTATTTTAAGAATACAATTTAAAAATATGATAAATATATATACTTTTAAGTAATTCACATAAAAAATTATGAAAATTGATATTTATTTAACACTACAAACACATGAATGCTTTTAATTAGTTAATTGATTAAAAAAATTAATATTTACATTTTTAATAAATATTAATTATCAAAAGATATATTTATTATACTTTTAATTTATGCCACAAAAATAAATAATAGGAAAACCCATAATAAAAAAAAAGTGTGAATGAGTGTACTTATAACGCCAATTAATAAGCTTATATCAAAATGAATTTTAAATAAAAAGAGTGATTAAAACTTGTTATAATACAATTTTACGTAAAATATATCCTTTGAAAAAAAGAAGAATAAAAAACAGAAAGCAAAGATGGAGGCCCACGCCCAACACTTTACAGGCTACAGGCTAGACTTTCCCGATTCATTTATTTAATCATCATAAAGCATGCAGCTCCGGGGCCTGTCTCCAAGTCCAATAATAATAATTCCACTTTTGGAATACCAGATTCCGGCCCGACAAAACCCATTCCTAACGGGCCCAATCAAATGACTGAAATACCATCTGCCCTCCTTATATACTCAAACTAGGGTTTTTATTTGCAGCCGCCTTCCATCATCTCCCCCAGAGAGGCAGCTGCTGTTCTGTTTCAGCAACCATGGGTGACGCTATCTGCCTCCACCTCCCCCTCCGCCTCCGTGCTATTCCTTGTGCATGTGTTCTGATGGCTGATTTTGGTTGCAGGTATCTCGCGTGATTCCATGCACAAGAGGCGTGCCACTGGAGGCAAGAAGAAGGCATGGAGGAAGAAGAGAAAGTATGAGCTCGGCCGGCAGCCGGCAAACACTAAGCTCTCCAGCAACAAGACCGTGAGGAGGATTCGTGTCAGAGGAGGCAACGTGAAGTGGAGGGCACTTAGATTGGATACCGGAAATTATTCCTGGGGAAGCGAGACCGTTACCCGTAAAACCCGTATCCTTGATGTGGTCTACAATGCTTCAAACAACGAGCTTGTTAGGACCCAGACTCTGGTGAAGAGTGCAATTGTTCAGGTGGATGCTGCGCCGTTCAAACAGTGGTACCTTCAGCACTATGGTGTTGACATTGGTAGGAAGAAGAAGGCAGCTGCTGCCAAGAAGGATGCTCCAGAGGTGGTTTTCATATCATTCCTTTTGCATTTTCTTTTAATTATTCATGACTACTTTAATTAAATTTAACAAATGCGTGGTTTATTCTTTTGTTTCGGTCCTGCTAATACCATGAAGATCTTAATTTGTTGGATGATTAGTTGCAATAGATTAATGAATCGTTGGAGATTCATTTCATGATTATAAACCATTACATGTTTATATCTTGATCTGGGATACGTGTTTATGTATAAGAATAGATGGCGTGATAGTAGTTTGATGGCATAGAGTTTGCCAAGCATGTAAATTTCTTGGTTCTTAATTGCTAGGGTCATCTTGTTGTTTGGATATTCCGCTACAGAATGTTTTAGTTGATAAATTGGTTTATGTTGGCTGAATAAGCAACGTTGCTAAGTAAAGACGTTTGCATTTTAGCTTCCATAATGATTTGCTTTGCAGTTGATACATGTATTGACTTAATCTAACTTACTGCCAAATTTGAAGTAATTTTATATGATGTATATGGATTGCCACTATAAGAATTTCCTTCTCTGTTGAATGATTCCTCCTTGTAGGACTGACTAGCATCTTGCTGTGAGGCTTTAGTCATGTCTCATATGTGTTATTTAAAGCTTGGAAAGTCTGTGCTGGTTTTGTGTTTTGTTTTAGTGTACAAAGCAGAGCAGTAAAAGGATTGGAATAAGCAAAAGAGATTGACTTCTTATGGAGTCTCTGTTTAAACTTTCTTCCACCTTTAGTTGTTGGTTTTGTGGAATTTTATTCTCATTTTTAGAGCCTCTGGGTTTCTGCTGGCTACACATGATTCTTTACTGTAGAGCTGTGTGCTTTTCAAAAGCTTGACATTATATCATTGTGTGTGCAATTGTTTTATTGCTTAAGTTCTTTGTTTTTTATGAGGTCCTTGAAAAACTTGTCTCCTTGGAAAATTGTTGGTTCATATTGTTACATAGTTTGTATTTTTGCTTAAAATTGACAAGTCTGTGCAACACCAGGAGGGAGAAGCACCTTCAGAGGAGACAAAGAAGAGCAACCATGTCTTGAGGAAGATTGAAAAGCATCAACAGGGTCGAACTCTGGATCCCCATATTGAAGAACAGTTTGGAAGTGGTAGGTTGTTGGCTTGTATTTCTTCCCGACCGGGCCAATGTGGTAGAGCAGATGGGTTAGTACAGAAACTCTCCTAGTTTCATGTTTCAAATAACTTTATATCATGTCTATTTCATCACACTTCTCTTTCTTCCAACAGATACATCTTGGAAGGTAAGGAACTTGAGTTCTACACGAAGAAGATACAGAGGAAGAAAGGGAAGGGTGCTGGTGCTGCTTAATAAGTTCTCTAGCCAGATTCTAATTGTTGCTTTCTTGAATTTAAGTTGGCATGGCCAGATGAAAGAATTGTTTGAAAGTAGTGTAGCAATATCCCTAAGACTCGGAAGTTGGAATCCTTTCCTACTTAAGATTAGAAGTGTTCGGATTTGTTCAAGCAGTTTTGCGAAAAGATATTTACTTGTTAGTATTAAACCTTGCATTATTAACAATCTGACTTTTTTATGTTACTATGTTTTGTGGTCCGTAGTAAGATTCGTTCTATTTTATTTTACTGCATTGCTTATCTTTAAATTTTTATATTTGGTCGCTGTTCGTTGTTAATGTTTACATATCCCACAACTTCTGCAGTTACAGTCTACATTATTGGAGTAAAATCTTTATTGTTTTACCATATGTTGGAGAACTGTGATGTAGATGTTGGAGAACTGTGGTGTATGTACATTCTCTGGTTACCCAAAAAGGTGTAGATTTTGCACC